ATGTTACAAACTGGAGAGGGTTCAGAAAAAATTTACCAGGATGTTGCCGGGAATGGAGGGTTTGAGTTATAAAGGAGAGGCTAGATAGGCTGGGACTTTTCTCACTGGAGCCTAGGAGGTGGAGGTGTGACCTTAGAGGTATGTAAAATCGTGAGGGGCATTGAATAGGAAGGGTCTTTTCCCTATGGTAAGGGAGTTTAAGACTAGAGGGCATATTTTTAAGATGAGAGGAAAAAGGTTTCAAGAGGACACGTGAGGCAACTTTTTCTTTTACAGAGTGTAGTTCATGTGTGGAATGAATTATCACAGGAAATGGTGGATGCAGGTACAATTACCACATTTAGAAGGCATTTGGACAAGTACAGGAATAGATAAGGTTTGGTAGGACATGGGCCAAATGCAGGTTAAGTGAGACTAGTTTACTTTGGGAACATGGTCAGTGTGGACTAGCGAGACCGAAGAGTCTGTTTCCATGCTGTATGACTCTAAGACTCTAAGTTGAGGATCCTGTTGCAGAGGGGAGAGCAGAGTCCGAGGTCTTGGGAGTCTGGAGATGAGTTTGTTTGGAATTATGGTGTTGAAGGCAGAGCTGTACTCAATAAGCTGGAGTTTGACATAGGTATGCTTATTATCCAATGCTCCAGGCATGAGTATAGGGCCAGGGAGATGGCCTCTGCTGTGGACCTGTAGGTGAATTGTATTGGATCACAGCAATCTGGGAGGCTAGAGTGCGCCATGACTAATATCTCAAAATATTTCATAATAATGGATGTCAGAACCATCAGGCAGTAGTCATTGAGGCATGCTGTGTTGATATTTCTTTGGCACTGGGATGATAGTGATCTTCTTGAAGCATGCGGGAACTGCAGAATGTAGGAAGGAGAAATTGAAGACAGCTGGCCTGTGCAGAATCTTAGTGTACAGCCGGGGACTGCATCCGGGCCAATCACTTGCCATGGGTTCACTCCTAAGAAGGCCAATCTTATACTTGCGAAGGTGACAGTGGGTACAGGTGCACCTGAGACTGTCAGGGCAGGTGACATCGTTCCACTGAAATTCTGTTCAAAACAAATGTAGAATGTATTGAGCTCATCAGGGGGGTATGAATTGTTGCCAGTAATTCTACTCGACTTCACTTTATGTCATGTAAGCCTTGCCACAAACGCCAGGTGCTCGTCTGGTTAGTCTGGTACTCTAGCTTAGTCTGGTATTCTCTCGGTGGCTCTGATGGCTTTACGAAGGTCGTATCTGGATTTCATGCATAGGTTATGGTCATCTGACTCAAATGCCTCAGATCTCGACTTCTGTATGGAATGGATCTCCCAGTTGATCTGTGGTTTCCATTTGGATTAACTTCTTTGGCGCGCAGTCTTCTACATACTTACTGATGAAATCTGTAACGGTTTAGGGTGGCCTCTCAGTTTTGACTCACCGACTCGTGACAGTCACGTAGGAGCTCATCCATTGCCTCAGACCAGCACCGTGTGACTTTCTGTACTGGATCCTCACACTTCAGTTTATGCTTGTAAGCCGGAAGAAAGAACACAACATTATGACCCGATTTTCCAAAATGCAGGCTGGGGATGGAGTGGTAGGCATTTTTTTTTGTGTAGCAATGGTCAATGATATTTGGAATTCTGGTGGGACAGGAGGCATATTAGTGGTAATTTGGTAGCACACTCTTGAGGTTGGCCTAGTTGGAGTTACCAGCTACAATGAACAAGGCCTTGGGGTATGCTATCTTAAGGCTATATGTAGTGGTGTATACTTCATCAAGTGCTCTCTTCACTTCCACATGGGATGGGGTGTTTCTTACATCTGGAAACAATAATTGTCCTGGATTTCAAGTATGTATACAGTTCAGTCAGAAACTTCATATAAAAAAAGGACTTTATTTTCATTACTGCTGGACATTCACGTGTTCATAGAAATAGCTAATGCTCCCCTTGTATAGTTGAGTCATACACTCTGAGAAGTTAGCTTCATTTCTAGTCTGATCTGATCTGGCTGATCTCAGCTTGGGAAATCATTGAGCAAGCATTTCAGCTCAGAAAGTAGATAAATTAGCAAATATTCCAACTTGACATTAGTGACTTTGCTAGAAAACATGCCAATTGAAACTGATAACAAAATGGCCAATCTCAGTGGTGTTGCCTTGATGAAAAGTCACAGACATGGCTCATTAACTGTTTCTTTCTTCACTGATGCTGTCAGATCTACTGACTATTTCCAGCACTCTGTGTGTTTGTTTCATAACAATTATATATTTTGCTTCAATGTAACCTGCAGGTGATTTATTACCATTTGTTCTTACTGGAATGAATTATACTGTGAAATATTCTTAGCCTCCTTCAAAATCACTATATTGAAAGATATTGATCAATTTCATTAAAAGTATTCAAAAGATATTTTAAATGTTAGTTTGCCTGTTCTTAGCACACACAACTCGAAGTCAAAAGATTAACTCAGAAGGCTATACTCCAGTACCTGAATACACAGACTCATACTTCAGTGCAACACTGAGCAAGTGCTACATTGTCAGAAATACCATACGATAAGCACGTTGTTATACCAAAGGCATATCATCTGTTCAGATTGCCAAAGACCTAATAAGACTGTTCAAAGAGTCAAAGGCCTCCTTGTGACATGGCCAACATTTCCCACTCAGAGTAATACCATCAAAACAGATTAAATGTTCATTTACCTCATTTATTATTGCAGGACCCAAATATCATGCTCATCCAAACAAGAGTGATTATACTTCAAAAATAATTCTCTGTAAGGCTCTCTGTCACACGCAGAGCATGTAATGTTTTTATTCTTAATGCAATCTTATTATCTTTTGTGTAAAATATATTTCTCATTAAAACTGTTTTAAACTACATTTGTAGCACTGTTCAGAATAGCAACACTCAGCAGGAATAAGAACATTACAGTGAATTATAGCAAAAATTTGTTTCAACCTACTGGTGCTCTATTTAAATGTAATTTATAGACATCCACGTCCTCTTAAAAAGATAAAACTGTCAGAACATATTTGACAGACATAAGAAACTCAGTACTTCCTAAATATGAATCCAAGTCTGTTAAGCATAGCCCTGATGTAGAAGATGAGCTCTTGAAATATGAAGAATTCTTTACATTATATTTCATTTTAAACTAAAAACATGTAGCAGTCACACTTAAAACACAGAAACATAGAAAATAGGAAGGGTAGGCCATTCACTGTTGTTGTGTACTCTGCCATTTGATATGATCATGGCTGATCATCCAGCTCAGCTCCTTTTCCCACATCCTCCCCACAACCTTTGTGCCTTTTAGTCCCTGGAACTATGTTCAACTCCTTCTTGAAAACATGCATTTTTTCCACCTTGACTGCCTTCTGCAGCACTGAATTCTACAGGACCACCATTCCCAGGGTAAAGAAATTTGTACTCATCTAAGTCCTAAATGGCCAATCACACACCCTTAAATTGTGACCTCTACTTCAGGACTCCTCTTTCCTGTATTTACCATGTCTATTCCTGTGAAAATCTTGGAGGTTTCTGAGACCCCTCCTCATTTTTCTAAACTTCAGTGAAACTCCAGTAATCCAACCTCTCTTTATACATTAGAACTGCTATCCCAAATCAACGTCAGAATTAAAACTAGTCCAAATCTCATTAAATCATATATTTCTTGTATAATTTTATCAGTAACTTTCCTTCACTCTTGGATGTAGAGGGGACAACATTAAAGTCAGTTGGGATTTACTACAATCCCCCACAAATTTGGTCTTTGCTCCCTCCCATTAAAGCCTGGAACAAATGGCTAAAATGACAGCAAATTTGGGCTCAGCAGTCATTGCATATTTTAAAACTTGCATAAGTACACTAAACTGCAAATTTTCCCTTTTAAAAAATTGGAAGTTAACACATTATCAGGCGGGGGCAGGGGTGGCTGTGAAAGGAAGGAGTGGAAGAAACAAATATTACAGAACAGTCTGTTTTATTGTTAACAATGAACGCGCACCACCGCACCCCCCCCCCCCCCCCCCCCACCCCGAGTTCCTTACAGCCCAAAACAAAACAAGAAAAAAAATCAGAAAAGACCCTGAGCTCCAAACCATTGGAGGGTAGAATGTAAATAGGTGACTGCTGAAACTATTGAGCTCTAAAAAATATGCGTTGGAGGGTATTTGTTAGTTTTGCTTTAATCCTTACCAGCGGTTGTATTTCTGACCGGGCTGTGGGTACTTGAAATCGATCGATTTCTTCCATCATTTTGAATAAAAGAAGTCGAGACGAAGGTGCGGCGTTTGCTCCTTGTGACTTATTGAATGAACTCACCGTCCCAGGGATCAGTATCTCGGTCTCCTCAGACTGTAGTTGTGGTGGTAGTAGTGGTAGTGGTAATGGTGATGATGATGATGGTGGTGGTGGTGGTTACTGCGGTCGCTCTCACTAACTCATCCTCTCTTTACCATCACCGGCTCCCGCAGAGACAGTGACTCAACTCCAACTTCCGGCTACGGAAGTGGCAACCACCGAGCGCCTCACAGGACCCACCCCCTTCCCGAAAAAAAACCGACATTATTCCATTCCTCCACAATATCCCCGGCTAAATCGGCACTGAAAAAAAAATAACCAGCTCGATGGGAAATTCCGAATTTGCTTTTCGATTTGAAGGACAGACATTTCCGCTCATCCAGGCGCGGCTGCGGGCAGTCCGGTTGTCCCGGGTTACCACCGGCCGAATGGCTATTTGACAGTTTTTTTTAACTTGCGGGGTATTTCTCCCAATAATCTTCCACCCTTCCGCCCCAACCACCCGACCATCCCTTTGATTAGTTTTATTGATACAGTTTGATCGTTTGCATTTAACGCTGTTCAGTCGCTGATTTGGTAATGGTTTGTTTCGGCGGATGGTGGATGCTGTCGTTGCCAAGGCGACAAGATTCAACTTCCGCTGGTGCTGCAGCAAAGAAATTAAATTGATCAGTTAGCTTTACTTTCCTCCCTTTTATTGTTAAAGAGTTAGATCCAGTACCTTTATTCTTACTATTAGAGTTAGATCCACTCCTCTCTTCACATTTATTGTTAGAATTAGATTCACTCTCTTCACTTCTATTGTTAGAGTTAGAATTAGATTCTCTTTATTCTTACAGTTAGAATAAGATACACTCTTTTCACTCTTACTGTAAAAAGAGTTAGATTCACACTCTTCACTCTCATTGCTAGATACGCTCTTTTCACCACTTCCTGTTAAAGATTTACTATTAGATCCACCATCTTCCATCTCACTGTTAGAATTAGAGTTAGATTTATTCTCTTAACTCCTTGTTAGAGTCAGATTCTTCACTCTTAAATCGGCCTGACATCGAGATGCCACTGAAAACTAAAACCAGATCGGTAATTTCAAAAAACTTTTCTTATTTTTTTCTTATACTTGTTAAACTTTTTGCCATGTTTACATTTAAAAAAAGTGTTACCTAATATTAACTGTGATGGGATTTAATCAAATGCTAAAGATGTCACAGAATTCAGGATATTTCATTTCAGCCATTTTGTAACAGACCTAATATGAAATGGAATGGTTTGTGTCTAAATTTAGAAAATTAAGTCAGGGAGATGGAAGGGGTATTGGTTAGGGAGAACTTTGGAGCAAGTAATTATAACTCATTATGTTCCTGATGACAAGGGAGTGCAGAATCAGGGATCACAATCTAAGGATAGGGGATAGATCATTTAGGAGTTAGATGAGGAGACATTTCTAAACCCAAAGTGTGGTTTACCTGTGGAATTCTTTGTCATAGAAAGCAGTTGAGGTCAAAACATTGAATATTTTCAAGGAAGATTTGAATATGATCCTTGGGACTAGAGAGATCAAAGAGTATGGGGAGAAAGTGGGAGCAAGGTACTGAGTTGGATGATCAGCCATGATCATATTGAATGGGGAAGCAGGCCCAAAGGGAGAAATGGCCTACTCCTGCTCCTATTTTCTATGTTTCAGAATGAATTAGGGAATTGTGGAAAAGAAAAATGATCTATAATAAAAGAACACGTTTGGTGAAAGCTGTTTTTGTTAAGTTATGATGTGATTTTAGCAAAACTGGACTGGGAAAAGTTACTTAAATACAATTTAGTATCAAAGATAAAGAGTGTTCAGAACAAATTCCACTCACCTTAATGTGGCTCTGCCGTAGAGATTGATCCATAGGGGAGGTGATGACTTGGTGGCATTATTGTTGGGCTACTAATCTAGAGAACTAATCTAGAGACACAGGTAATGTCTTAGGAACCCACATTTGAATTCCATCATGGCAGATAATGGAATCCAAATTCAATAAAAACATGGAATTAAGAGTCTAAAACTGACCATGAAACTGCTGTTGATTGTCAGAAAAAGTCCACCTGGTTTACTAATATCCTTTTGAGGAGGAACTTGCTGTTTTTACCTGGTATGGGCTACATGTTACTCCAGACCCACAGTAGTTTGGTTGATTCTGAGCTGCCCTCCAGGCAATAAATGCTGAGCTAGGCAGCCACATCCTGTGAATGAATAGCAAAATGGATTCCTGACACCCATCATTCTATTCCCATGGTGACAGAGGCTGTAACCAATGACCTTCAGGTACAGATGGTTTTACTCTGTCTGCCTTTAACAAGGAAGTTATCCGGACAATGACAAACCCGTTCTTGAGTGCTGAAAAAACCCTTGGCCAACAAAGCAGTTTCCCAGGTTATGTTTCAGCCAACACCACGCACATGTTATGAAGCATCAGTTGTAACTGTTGATGGCACCAGTCTCAAAGTCATTGAGAAATTCTTATACCTTAATAATGTGCCTTCTAAGGATGGTATTATTAATGAAGATACCAAAATATAAACTTGTTTAGAAAGCAAGTTGTGACTTTGGCCAACTGCTTGATCATGTTTGGAAACAGAACGACATTAAATTGAAGACTAAAATCAAACTCTAAAAGGCCATTGTCCTTATAACCCTGCTGTGTGGTGCAGAATCGTCGGTTTACTATAAACTCCTTACCAAAGCTCATCCACAACAAACACCTGAAAACATCACAAGAGTTCATCAGAAGGACAAAATCAGAAGCACAATGTCTTTTGTTATGTTGAGTTCAACAGCATGGAAAATACCTTGAATAAAATTCAACTTGAATGAATAGGCAATGTCTCCCACATGTATAACTATAGAATCTCTAAGTAGATCTTCAATGGGCACTACATCAAGCTAAATAGTATTAAAGTAATCAGTGCAAAGGATACAAGAGTACAATGATACAATAAAAAAGAGCCTTATAAATTTCAGTATTGCAGACCACTTCTCTTGGGAAAATAGTTCTGTGGACCAGTCCATGTGGATGTAAGTAGTCATACAATTTGGTGCACCATGGTTTGAGGATGATTTGTATCAAACTTACAATAAACAGCATGTCCAGTGGAAGTTTCAGAAGTTTTCCCAAGCACCAATAGGGGTAACATGAAGGCACCAGTTTTGTGGTCATTCGTACTATACTCGCATCAGAATCCTCAGTCATGAGAGAACCCACCAAAACCAATGATGTCACTTGCAGTTTGGACAATACCATCACCACTGTTGTCCCACTGAAAAGAAGAAGCTAGCGCAACTTTGATTTGATTCCTGATGTTGAGGAGCGCAAAGGACAGCTAGTTTTCCTGACAATCAACAATGGTTTCATGGTGATCATTATACTCCTAATGCCAGCTTTTTATTTAATTCAAATTCCGCCATCTGCCATGGCAGGATTCAAAGCCAGGTCCGCAGAACCTTAACTGAAGTTTTTAGAATAATAATCTAGCAATAATACCACCAGGTGTCGCCTTTCATATGATTGGACCTATAGTCATTGGAATAGAGAAGAATGAGAGGCGACTTTAATGAAACATAGAAAATTCTTAGGGGACTTGATAAGGTAGATGCAGTCTAGGACCAGAATTATCTCAGAATAAGGTGTTGCATATTCAATAAGAGAGATGAGGAGGAATTTCTCCTCACAATTGGTTGTGAATCCATGGAATTCATTACCTCACAGGGCTCGTGAGGTTCGGTCATTAAGTATATTCAACGTTGGGATCAACCAGTTTTTAATCGGTAAGGGAATCCAGGGTTATGGCGAAAGGGCAGGAAAGTGGAGTTGAGGACTATCAAATCAACAGTGATCTCAATTAATCATAGAGCAGACTCAGAGGGCTGAATGACCTATTCAGCTCCAATGTCTTGTGGTCTTTAAGTTAATAAGAAATAGGAACAGGAATTGGCTGTTTGGCCCCTTGAGCCTGCTCCACCATTCCATAGGGTCATGGCTGATTCGACATCCCTGACAACGAATTTTCTGCATTTTCCCTATAAATCTTAATTCCACTTGCTGATCAAGAATGTATTTCTCTCAGCCTTAAACACATACAAGGACTCTGTGGCAAGAATTTACAAAGACTTACAACCTTCTGAGAGGAGAAATTCTTCCTAATCTCAGTCTTAAATTAGTGTCTCTTTATTCTGAGACTATGCTGTCTAGTCCTAGACTCTCCCATGAGGGAAAACATCCTCTCAACATTTACCCAGTCAAGCCCCTTAAGAAGCCTATATATTTCAATGCAATCACCCCTCACTTTCTAAATTCCAGTGAGTAGATTCCCAACACGTTTAGCATTTGCTCATAAGGCAATTCCTCCATACTGGGGATTATCCTCATGAAGCTTTGCTGAATTGCTGCTACTGAAATGATATTTTTCCTTAAATAAGGTGACCAAAACTGCCCACAGTACTCCAGATGTGGTCTCACCAACAAGACTTCCCTCCAACCTCTTGGAAATAGTAGTCAACATTCCATTAGCCATCTTTATTACCTGCTGCTCCTGTGTGCTAGCTGTCTGTGTTTTGTACACAAGTACCTCCAGTCCCTTTGTGTTGCAACTTTCTGCTGTTTTTCTCTATTTAAATAATACTCTGCCAACCTTTTGCCTACTTTTTGAACTTATCAACATTGCTCCGTAAACTGTTGGTATTCTTCTTGCAACTTGCCTTTCCAACCATTTTTGAGGTGTCTGCAAATTAGGTTATAATACATTGACTTCCTTCCTCCAAGCCATTGATATACATTAAAAATAGTTGCCATCCTGGCACTGATCCCTGTGAAACCCCACTGGTTACAGGTTGCCATCCTGTAAAATAACTCCTATCCTCAATTGTTGTTTCCTGCCTATTAGCCAATTCTCAATCAATGCCAGTATATTACCTCCAACACCATAGATTCTTATCTTATGACTTAACCTTTTGTGAGATGTCAACGCCTTCTGGAAGTTAAAATGAAACGCATCTGTTGGTTCCCTCTATCCACTCTGGTTGAGACCTCCCCAAAAAACTGAACAAAGACATTTTCTGAAGAAGAGTCCAGACCCGAAATGTCAGCTTTCCTGCTCCTCTGACGCTGCCTGGCCTGCTGTGTTCATCCAGCTCCACACCTTGTTATCTCAGACTCCAGCATCGGCAACTCCTACTACCTCTGTCCAGGAATTAGTGCTGTTTGTTCTTTTCCTCTTCCTTGGTGAATTTGATCCTGGTGGGAGTGTTGTTTATTAATCGGTGTGTCTCCTGTGGTTTGGTCCGTTTAATAATGACGAAGGTGTCTTTCGCGTATCGTATCCATAGTTTTGGTTGGATTAGTGGAAGAGCCATGCTTTTGAGTCTCTGCCTCACCGCTTCAGCTATTAGTCCGGAGATAGGTAACCCCATGAGTGTCCCGTTGATCTGTTCTTATATTTGGCCGTTAAAGCTAAAGTGGGTCGTGAGGCATAGGTTCAGTAACTTCAGCATGTTGTCTGTGGAGATGGTGTCACTCAGGTCTTGTTCTTGTTTTAGTAGTGTTGCCAGTGTTTCTGTTGTTAGTGGTATGTCTATCAATGTGAATAGGACAGTAACGTCAAATGATACCATGGTCTCGTCGTCGTCTATTCTTATGTCCTTGATGGAATTGAGGAACTCTTGGGCTGAGTGGATTGACTGGGGTGACTTGCTGATGAGGTACTTTAGTCTCTGTCGTAACTCCTTGGCTAGTCTATGTGATGGCATGCCTGGCAGGGAGACTATGGGCCTGAGGGGTGCTTCCCATTTGTGTACCTTCGGAAGGCCGTAGAATCGGCGGGTGGTGTTAGTTCCTTCTGGTTTCATTCTATGGTAGTCTGTTTTGTTGATTTATCTGGTCTGTTTGAGTCTCTTTAGTGTGTTGAGTATCTTGTTGCCCAATTGTGGGTCAATCTGCACTTGCCGGTATGTGTTCTCGTCGGCTAATGGTGTCTGTGTTTTGGAGAGGTAGTCTCGTTTGTTAAGTATTACGTCATGCGCCCTTTGTCCACTGGTAGTATTATGATGTTTTTGTCCTTTTTCAGTCCTTCTTGGGCCTTCCTTTCCGATGTGTTAAGAGTGTTAAGTTCACTCCTTCTGGTCAGTGTCGGGATATTGTCTGTCTTAGTGCTTGTTGTGTGTCTTCATTGATGCCGTTGGTCTTCAGTATGGCTTCTAGTGTGACTAGAAATTGAGATCCCATGGGATCATCTATATCCGGACTAATAGCTGAAGCGGTGAGGCAGAGACTCGAAAGCACGGCCCTTCCGCTAATCCAACCAAAACTATGGATACGATATGTGGACGACACCTTTGTCATTATTAAACGGACCAAACTAGACGAGGCACTCCAACTAATAAACAACACTCCCACCGGGATCAAATTCACCAAGGAAGAGAAAAAGAACAAACAGCTCCCATTCCTGGACGTCATGGGGGAATGCAGGACTAACGGGGAATTCCTAACAAAGGTACTCAGGAAAGCCACACACACTGAGCATGTGAATTTCAACAGCAACCACCCTAACACCCATAAACAAAGTTGTGTGAAAACACTATTCAAAAGGGCAACAACAAAGCAGCAACACAGAACTACGCCAAAAAGAAGAAGAATACCTCCTCCAAATGTTCAAGGACAATGGATACCCGAACAACTGGGTCAGAAGATGCCTATTACAAGAACGACATCAGGAAGACACTACATGCCCCGACACACTCATCATGCTACCTTATATCAAGAACACACCTGAACCTCCACAATACTCCTACGACCACTGGGCATCAGAATAGCACACAAACCCACATCAACCCTATGCCAAGTGCTAACCCGAACCAAAGACCCGTTACCCACTTTGGATGGAACCAACGTCATATACAAGATCCCCTATTGGACGGACAGGAAGAAAATTAGCCACAAGAGTATACGAACATCAACTCGCAACAAAAAGACATGACCAATACTCACTCATCTCCAACCATATGGACAAGGAAAACCACCAGTTTGATTGGGACAACACCGGAATCCTTGGACATGCCAAGCAAAGACAAACATGGGAATTCCTAGAAGCCTGGTTCTTCACTAAGAAAGCTGTCATTAAACACATAGAGCTAGACCCCATATACACTCCATTACGAAGGAAAACTGGAAGTGAGGTAATCCAGCTCAACGGACACCAGAGTTTAAATAACAGGTGGGAAAACACAACAGTGCTTCATCGGAGGCTGCACTGATGATGTTACCCAGCAGGGTAATGAAACGTCTGCAGAACAACGAACAGCTCAGCAAGGCAACCAACCACATCATTCATAGGATGTAGGCCCATCTGTAATTGCCCCTTGATGTGAGTGGTTTGGGAGGGCCATTACAGAGGGCAATTAAGAATCAACCTCATTACTGTGGGTTTGGACTTATATGTACCGTAGGAATATAGGAACAGGAGTAGGCCATTCACACCCTCAAGCCTGTTCTGCCATTCAATGAAATCATGGCTGATCTGTGGCCTAACTGCATATACTTGATTTTGACACATAATCCCACAACACCTTTGCTTAACAAAAGTTTTTCTACCTCAGATTTAAAACTAACAAATGATCTAGCATCAACTGCCATCTGTGGAGGAGAGTTCTAAACCCTCACCACCCTTAGTGTAGAAGAATTTCCTAAATCTCTCCTGAACAGTCTGATACATGTTTTTAGACTATGCCCCCTGGTTCTGGAATCCCCAACCAGTGGAAATAGTTTTATCTTTATTTGTCCTATCTTTTCCTGTTAATGTCTTGAAGACTTTGATCAGATCACCCCTTAACCTTCTAAATTCGAGAGAAAACAGACCTAACTTGTATAATCTTTCCTCATAATTTAACTCCTGAATGCATTCTTGTAACCGACGTTGTACTCCCTCCAAGGCCAGACCGGGTAAGAATGACAGATTTTCTTCTGTAAAGGACATTAGTGAACCAGGTGCGTTTTTACGACAATCAACATTAGTTACATGGTTGCCATTAGGCCAGCATTTTTCATTCCAGATTTTTATTGAAATCAGTGTCATTATCTGCAATGGTGAGATTTCAACCGTTTATCCCAGAACATTAGCCTGGGGTTCTTGCATCCTGGTACAGTGACACTGCCAGTGTGAATTAAACAGGATAAGTGATTTTCTTTATGCTAATTTCGATGTTTTTAGATAAAATGATAATTTAAGTGCAGATGGCTTTGCTTATTCCACAGAGGTCTCACAAAGCTTGCCTTGTTCAGATAACCACTGCAGCCCTTTTAGATCCACATTCCTTCCTTTTTAAAAATCAGTTTAGTCCATGAAAGGTCTCCCATATAACAATCAAATGGAACAAGTTAAAATTTAGTATTTCATTAGCCCTCCGGATACTTTAGAGAACCCTAGATTTGAGCTTCTTAAGTAATTGCATTGAAACAAACTTTAGTCTTCCTGGCAATTTGTAAAGAAACCTCCTAATTTGAAGCTTATCTTGACTGTTTCACCACTCTGGGATTTACTCCAATTTATTCTATGTATTTCTTTGTTTGTAGGTTTTTACGTTTTGCTTTTTGTTTTGTTCAAGGCATTGGGAGCTGGCTGAGTGTTTTGTAAATTGGAAAAGTTTGAAGAGGAAAATGAGGTGGATGTGCTGACATTGTCTATCGTTGGATGTAGACTTTGAAATATTTGTGATTTTAAAAATGAATTAGTTGTTAAGTAATAATACATTAACATCAATAATTTACAACATTTTCCTAATAGGTTACTGCCCCGCCTCCAGTACCATCCGCTAAAGCTACATCAAAGAAGTCTAAGAAGGTAAGGAATTTTAATTGATAACATACATTAATTTGAAAGTGAATATTTTAAAATCACCAATAGTTAGTAATCACGTGAAATAATTACTGTTATTTGAGAACAATAATTTTATGACATAACATAGGGCTAGATAACAAAATGATTCAGAGGTGACTGTTAGAGGCAAACGCCCAGAAAAGTGTTTATCTTCTACCCATTTTTCTGGCGCTGAAATATTAGCTTCAAATATGGCAGGCCGGAAGCTAATGTTAGAACGGAAGTTCATTGCCAACATATTGGATTTTACCTGCCAGTCCTATGGAAGTTGCTGAATAACTTATGTAAATAAGGGTTGAATTCTTGTTGTAAAACTTGTTTGTGAAATTGACTTGTCCTTGCACTGGCTTTGCCATGTTTTAGAAGTTGCCTTGCAATTTGTGGCACTAAATTCTGAGAAGGACCATTGTCCAGCGTGAAAAGAGCAAAAATATTTTCCAATTTTCCTTACTGACTTAGCTTCACAGAAATGATCGAAAATTTATAATACAGATGGAAGCATACAAGCTAGATGAGAAAAGCGTATGTTGAAGAAACAAATTACAAGTTATAATGAGATAACAAATATAGAGCTGGATGAACACAGCAGACCAAGCAGCATCAGGGGAGCAGGAAAGCTGACGTTTTGGGTCTGGACCCTTCTTTTCTGAAGAAGGGTCTAGACCCGAAATGTCAGCATTCCTGCTCCTCTGATGCTGCTTGGCCTGCTGTGTTCATCCAGCTCTACACCTTGTTATCTCTAGACCCGAAACGTCAGTTTTCCTGCTCCTCTGATGCTGCTTGGCCTGCTGTGTTCATTCAGCTCTACACCTTGTTATCTCGCACTATACCTATATTGCCTTGTATGTTCAGCAACATCAACAACCTAGCTTCTTTATCAATTATAAGGTTTTCACTTTCTTAACCATCAGCTGATTTGCAGCCATGCCAAATGTATGATATGTGTCAAAAGCATTCTTATAGCAGTTATGAATAATTTATCCTATGCCAATCATCTGTGTCTCTTTTATTCCTGCTAGGCCATCAAGTTTAATGTTTGTTACTGGGTTATTTGCTCCAGACATGATTCAGAACTCAATATAAGCATGAGACAGCTGTGTAGTTGGCCAGCAATCCTAGCCATGCCTCCACAAGCAAACTGATTCCTACTTGTATAACTCCAGTGTCACAGTTTCCTTCAACTCTTTGTTGTCTGACTATTGGACATTCTAACTTTCACTCCACCATCCCTACCTTCCCAGTCCCATAATCAATCACGGCCATTATGTTTGGTGATTTGAGACTCTGGCACTAGCTTCCTTGGCTACAAGCTTTGACATTTTTTTTCAATTATCTAGTCCACCTCTTTGTCCAAGCTTTTGTTCACTTCTTCTAACATTTCCATTTTTGATTTGCATCCATTTTCTTTTTAATTGCGTTTCAGTGAAACTCCTTGGAACAATTTTTGTTTAAAGTAAAGATTAATTCTGAACAAAAGTTGTTGTTTCAGTTAGTGCTGTTGTATAAAGCATATTGTAATGTCATATGCTTGGTGAATTTTGGAAATCTTGTTATTTAATTGAGACTGCAGTTTGGAAATTTGCTGGTTAATTACTTCAGAAGCAGTATAGCCTTTTGAAAGAATTTTGTTCGGACAACTTATTTATTGGCAATTTATGAACATGTGCAGCGAGTTATGCTAATTTGTATTTCTAAAAGCTGCATAATTATTTCTCGCAGAATTAAAATTTTCACTTTGTTACAGGATGATGACGATGGAACTGATTTGGGAGATGGAGATGACTGGACTTTGGGGAAATCACTCATCAAACCTCCTGATCAGCTGGATCTTACTGAACAAGTCAGTAACGTGTTATGATTTCAATATTTATTTCATGGTAAATTAGAGCATTTTTGGATTTAAAATTATGCAAGAATCTTTAAAATATATATTTCATTATATCTATTTTCTAATAACTTTTTTGTAACAAATTTCACATCTTTTCTAGGAACAATGGGGTTACTATTCCTTAAACTGAAGGATAGACATTTTGAAGGTATTTCTGGCCTTCAAATCTTTACAGTTTTATTATGCATTTTATGTCTTTTTCTGAATACAGCAACTCTTTTTGGGGTATAATTCCAGTACTTCTGGTGTGGAACTTGCACTTGTGGCAGAGGATTGGAGAATTGAAAATGTTACAGCCTTGTTCAAAAAAGGGTTTAAGATAACCCCATGACAACAGGCCACTGAGTTTAATGTTGATGGTGGGACAGCTTCTACAAACAATAATTTGAGATGAAATTAGTAACTTCCTTGATGAACCACAGTTTAATTCAGGAAAGTCAAGAAGGATTTCTTCAGGGCAAATCATGTTTAGTTAACTTGCTGGAGTTTTTTGATGAGGTAACAGAAAGGATTATTGAAGGTAGTGCTGCTGATATGGACTCCCAAAAGGTACTTCATAAAGTGCTGCATGACTGACATGTGATCAAAGTTGAAACTCGGAATAACAAAGATGGTTAACATAGATATGAAGGTGGTTGAGTGACAAGAAACAAAGAATAGGAACCATTGAGGGAGGAGGGTAACTTCTTCAAGGTAGGCATCCCTAGAAGAGGCTTTGCAGAAATGCCATTTCTGAAGAAGTGTCCCGACCCGAAACGTCAGCGTTCCTCCTCCTCCTCTGATGCTGCCTGGCCTGCAATGTTCCTCCAGCTCCACACTGTGTTATCTCAGACTCCAACATCGGCAGTTCTTACTATCTTTCAATAGTAACCATTGGATGGTTTTCAGATCAGAATAGGTTTTATAGTGGAGATACCCAGGGGTCAGTGCTAGAATCCTTGGTGCGTAGGGCACAATTTCAAAATTTGTGGAGGAAACAAAACTTGGAAGTAATGTGAACTGGTTGGAGATTAATCTAGAACAATAAAGTTAGTGGAATTCTTAAGAGAATTAACAGGGTAAATGTTGAGAGGATATTTCTCCTCATGGGAGAATGTCAGACAAGAGGGCAGCCTCAGAATAAAAGGGCACCAATTTCAGCCTGAGATGAGGAGGAATTTCTTCTCTCAGTTGTGAGTCTTTGGATCTCTTTGCCATAGAGAGCTGTGGGACAGAATCGTTGTGTGTATTTAAGGCTCAGATAGATAGATTCTTAATCAGTAGGGGAATCAGTGGTCATGGGGAAAAAGTAGGAAAGTGGACATGAGGAATGTCGGATCAGCCTTGTCCTATTGAATGGCATAGCAGGCTTGAGGAGCTGAAAGGTCTACCCCTCATTCTATTTTGTATGGTCTTATGGAATGGGTGAAAAAGAAGTGGATGAAATATCACGCAGAGATGTGTGAAGTGAAAATCTTTGGTTGTGAGAACATGATACAAAAATATAAAATAAAGGATACCATCCTAAAGGGATATGGGAGCACAAGAAACTATGTATGTGGGTGTAATTCCTTTCAGATGGCATGTCAGGTTACAGTAGCAAATAATAAACTATGTGGAATCCGAGGTTTTGCTAGTAGGAGCATGGAGCACAAAAACGATGAAACTATGTTAAACTTGTACAGAATGACTGGATTATTGCATCTTATTTTATGTATCACCTTCTAAGAAGGATATAAAATTATTAGATGGAATGCAGAGAAGATTCAAAAGAATAGTTCTAAGGATGAGGACCTTGACATAAATAGATTGTTGAAGTTGGAAACATTGGAGAAAAGCTTCATAGAAAATGTTGATACATATATTCACAATATGAAGGGGTCTGGAAATTTAGATAAGGAAAATCTAAACTCATTGATAGAAGGATGGTGAATAATAAGACAGAGATTTAAGTAATTGACAATAAATGCAATGGTGACCTGAGGAAAATGCATTGCCTGAGAGCGTGGCGGAGGCAGAGTTACTTGGGAAGGATTTAAAAAGAAATTGAATTTTTGCCTTAAAAAGGAAGAGTTTGCAGAGTTACAAGGAGAATATGGATTTTTGCCATTGGACACAGCATAGACACAATGGGCATACATTTGATGGGGGGAGAGGGCAGATGGCTTGTTACGGCCCCAAAGAAAATTCAGTTGAATGCTAATTCTACCATTGGAAACCCATCTCCCAGCCGTAACAAATTATAGCTGGACGAGCTTGAACCTTCTTCCAAGGGAGGAAATCCTGCCTTCAGCAGTTGCTGGCCAACACCCTTACAGCAGCACAGTGCTGTGGAATGGGCACTGTTAGGAGTGTAGGAAGAGGCCCAAAACAATTAGGACTGCCACAGAGAGGTGTCTCAAGATTTTATGGAAGGTAGGGATCCTAGAGTGGGGGGAGAGGTGAGAATGGAGTATTTCTGCCAACTCCATCATGCCAAAGCAAGATTAAAAGGGTTCTGTTGCAACCTGCTTGAAGGGAAGCTGATTTTTGTGGATGGGAAGGTGCACTTGCATACTTTTAACTGTTCCACACTGATCACACTGCCTCTATGCACCTGTAAGTTTGGTTGAAGTGGTTCATAGCTGTTAACTCTTCTTCAGAGCTCATTCAGATCAGGATTATTTTCCTGGTAAATTCTGTCCGCTGAGTTCAAGCCAGTAAATCCCACAAACTTCTCTCTGTAGGATTATTGGAACCAACATGGACTGCAGTGGCAGCTCACCACCACATTTTCAAGGACAACTAGCACGGGCAATGAGTACTGCCCAGCCAGCAGCACCCCATCCCCGAATTAAAAAATGAATCCCACATGGGAAAGAAACAAACTGAGAATGCTATCTTCCTTCAAACAGCCAGCTTAATTTTATTAAGCCTTAGCAATGCTGTAAATCTTCCAGATATTTTACAAGTCTTGGATTTTTCTCTTCAACATACATTCTTACCCACTTAAGGGATATTTATAAGAGAGAAAGGTTGGTTTCAGTTGGAACAGAAAGTCTCAAATAAGATTATTTACTAATTTCACAATTTTTTAAAAAGAGATTAACGAACTTTAAGTGAATAGGTATACTACTGTGCCAAAACTAACAAAAAATGTGATACCAAATCTAACAGAATCCTGTTTGATGTTATTTAAAGCTACTCAAAGATATCCAGAATATCAATGAATACAATATCCTTCAACATTTAAACTTTTAGCTTAAAGCCCCAAGTAAGCACCCTCCCCCAATGGGGAAAATATATTTTGAGAAACATTATCTGAGGGTTTCTGATTACTGTCAGATCTTCAGTCAGGAATTTTATGTTGTTCTGATCCTCCCTCTTTCGCAAATGTGTGTTTACCCTCTGCTTAGGTTTGTCCATCTTTCGTGTGAAGCTGTGAATAATGTGACAATGCTATTTTTTAATTACTCAGTGAATGTTTCCTTTCTAAAATTATGAGTTTTTACCGAGTCAATTTGTTAGCGATGTTTTATAACTGTTATATGAAGACTTCTTTTTTCTCCCCATTGTTCACATTGGTACCAACAACGTAGGTAGAAAAAGGGATGAGGCACTGCAGAGTGAATATAGTTCATTAAGCAGGAGGTTAAAATCAATGACTTCAACGGTAGTAATCTTCGGAGTACACCTGGTGCCACGTGCTAGTGAAAGTAGGAATAGGAGGATAGGGCAGATGAATGTGTGGCTGAGGAGCTGGTGCAGGGGGAAAGGATTAACATTTTTGGATCATTCGGGTCTCTTCTGGGGCAGAATTGACCTGTACAAGGGAGGTGGGTTGCACCTGAACTGGAGGGGTATTGATATCCTGCCAGAGAGATTTGCTGGAGCTACTCTGTAGAGTTCAAACTAGTCTGGCAGGAGTATGGGACCGTAAACAATTGTGAGACAAGAGACAAGGTTGAGACTGGTGCAGATGTTAAAGGGAACAGGTTAAAAGAACAAGGCAGGCAAGAGCACAGCAGAGAACGAGACAAAACTGATGGATTAAACTTTATTTCAATGCAAGAGGTCTGACAGGAAAGGCAGATGAACTCAGGGCAATGATGGGAACATGGGACTGGGATATCATAGCTATTACAGAAGTATGGCTGAGGATGGGACAGGACATGCAGCTCAATGTTCCGGAGTATAGATACTACAGGAAGGCTAAAACGGGAGGCAAGAGAGGTGGGGGAGTGGCGCTTTGATTAGGGAAAGCATCACGGCTGCACTTAGAGAGGATATTCATGAGACATCATCCAGTGAAGCTATGTGGGTGGAACTGAGAAATAAGAAAGGGGTGGTCACCTTGATGGTATTGTACTATAGACCCCCCGAGTAGTCAGCAGGAAATTGAGGAGCCAGTATGTAGCGAGATCTCAAATATCTGGAAAAATAATACGGTTGTAGTGGTAGGTGATTTTAATTTTGCTAACATAGACTGAGACTGCCATCGTGTTAAGGGCTTGGATGGGGAGGAATTTGTTAAGCATGTTCATGAAAACTCTCTCAATCAATATGTAGATGAACCTACTAGAGAAGGAGCAAAATTTGAACTTCTCTTGGGAAATAAGGCAGGGCAATTGACTGAGGTGTTAGTGCGGGAGCACTTTGGGACCAGTGGCCATAATTCTATCAGTTTTAAAATAGTTATGGAATAGGTTAAGCCTGTCTACAAGTTAAAGTTCTAAACTGGGGCAAGGCCAATTTTGACTGTTTTAGACAGGATCTTTCAAAAGTTGATTGGGGAGGTTGTTTGCAGGTAAAGAGATGTCTGGCAAGGGGGAGGCTTTCAAACGTGAGGTAACAAGAGTTCAGGGACAGCATGTTCCTGTTAGTGTGATGGGCAAGGCTGGAAGGAAGAGGGAACACTGGATGAATAGAGATATTGAGGCTCTCCTCAAGATAAAAAAGGAGGCATATGTCCGGTATAGACAGCTGGGAACAAGGGAATACCCTGAGGAGTATGGAGTGTAGGAGCACACTTCAGAGCGAGACCAGGAGGGCAAAAAGGGGACATGAGATGGCTTTGGCAGATAAGGTTAAGAAGAATCCAAAGAGATTCTACAAGTATGTTACGGGCAAAAGAGTAACTAGCGAGAGAATAGGGCCCCTTAAAAATCAACGAGGCCATCTATGTGTGGAACCACAGGAGATGGGTGAGATCCTAAACGAATATTTCATGTCAGTATTTATTTTGGAGAAAGAGATGGAAGCTAGGGAACGGGGGGAAATAAATAGCGATGTCTTAAAAGGAGTTAACATTACGGAAGAGGAGGTGCTGGAGGCCTTGAAATGCATAAAAGTAGTTAAATCCCCAGAACCTGATCAGGTGTATCCTAGGATGTTGTGAGAAACTAGGGAAGAAATTGTGTGGCCCTTAGCAGAGATACTTGTGTCATCAACAGCCATGGGTGAGGTGCTGAAAGACTGGAAGTTGACTAAACCGATGAGGCTGACATCAATGGTGGGTAAGTTGTTGGAGGGGCTTATGAGAGACAGGATCTGCATGCATTTGGAAAGGCAAGGACTTATTAGGGATAGTCAGCATGTCTTTGTGCATGGGAGATTGTGTCTCACAAATTTGATTGAGCTTTTCGAATAGGCAACCAAGAAGATGGATGAAGGCAAAACGGTAGATGTTGTCCACACGGCCTTTAGCACTACCTTCTACAAGGTTCCGCACGGTAGACTTTTTAGTAAAGTTAGATCATATGGGAACCAGGGAGAGCTAGCCAACTGGATACAGAATTGGCCTGTCGGTAGGTGACACCCTAAGAGGATGCTGGTAGAGGATTGTCGCTCATACTGGTGACCTGTAACCAGAGGTGAGGTGCAATGATTGGTTTTGGGTCCACTGTTGTTCGTCACTTATAAAAACAACGTGGATGAGAATATAGGAATCAGGATTAGTAAGTATGCAGATACCACCAATTTTGGTGTCATAGTATACAGTGTAGAAGGTTATCTAAGAGTACGACAGGATCGTGATCAACTGGGCCAATGGACCGAGGAATGGCAGATGAAGTTTAATTTAGATGAATGCAGGGTGTTACGTTTTAGTAAGACAAACTAGGGCAGGACTTATACAGTTAATGGTAATGCCCTGGGGGCTGTTGTCGAATAGAGAGACATAGGGGTGCAAGTACATAGTTCCTTGATAGTGGTGTCTCAGGTAGACAGAGGAGTGAAGAAGGAGTTTGGCCTGCTTGCCTTCATCACTCACTGCGTTGAGTATCAGAGTTGGGATGTCATGTTACGGCTGTATAAGAAATTGCTGAGGCCACATTTGGAGTACTGCGTACAATTCAGGTTGCCCTGCTATAGGAAGCATATTATTAAACTGGAAAGAGTGCAAAAAATTTGCCCCTCATATCTTTTTTAAATATTTCTCCGCTCACCTTAAAAATGTACCCTCTAGTCTTGAAATCCCCCATCCTAGGGAAAAGACAGCTACGCTTAACTCTATCTATACCCCTCATTATTTTATAGACATGTATAAGGTTGCCTCTCAACCTCCGACGCTCCAGTGAAAAAAAGTCCCAGTCTCTCCAGTCTTTCTTTATAACGCAAACGTTCCGTACCCAGAGTTCTTCTGAACTCTTGCAACTTAATAATATCCTTCCCATAACTTGGCAACCAGAACTGGACACAATATTCCAGAAGAAGCCTCATCAATGTCCTGTACAACCTCAACATGACTTCCCAACTCCTATACTCAAAGGGCTGAGCAATGAAGGCAAACATGCCAAACAACTTTTAAACCACCTTGGCTGGGACTTTTTTCCTTGGAACATCGGAGGCTGAGGAGTGACCTTATTGAGGTTTATCAAATCACGAGGGGCATAGATAAGGTGAATTTCCAAGGTCTTTTCCCCAGGGTAGGGAAGTCCAAAACTAGGGGGCTTAGGTTTAAGGTAAGAGGAGAAAGATTTAAAAGGTACCTGATGGGCAACCTATTTATACAGTTGACGTTGCGGGTATGGAACAAGCTGCCAAAGAAGTGGTAGAGGTGAGTAGAATTATAACTTTTAAAAGACATTTGGACAGGTACATGGTTCGGAAAGGTTTAGATGGATATGGGCCAAATGCAGGCAAATGGGACTAGTTCAGTTTCGGAAACTTGGTCGGTATGGGAAGTCAGGCCAAAGGGCTTGTTTCCATGTAGTATGACTCTATGACCCTAGAAGCAGGCTACAATGCTCCTCATTCCCTTCTCCTGACATTCCTACCTCCCCATTGACACAGGCCCAATAACAGTCCACATCCTCCCCTTTACTGCTTGTAGGGGATGAGGGTTTAGATCTCTAGCACCCTTCCCTTGGTCTGGTCCCTCTTCCTCCTATTGTGGCCAACTTTATCATGCAGTGAGAGAAGAAGAAGAATATAATGTGATGGCAATGTGTGCGTGTGCAGTTGTTGACAATGCCTAACCATGCTGTGTGGTGATTCCTCTGCAGTAGGTGAAGAGAAGTGCATTGCCTGGGAATTGTTTGAACATAAGGCATCACTACCAAGGAGTTTGAGAAATATTCTGTAATGAGTTAGTCTTGTATTTTGTGAGTGAGGATGGGAACTTAAAACAAGAAAGCAAGGATGAATTTTGCTTTATTTTGAAATTTCAAACGTACTCTGTATGATTATATTTTAGGAATTAAAGGAAGAAATTACTCGTGTTCTTACAGCTGATAACCCCCATGCTCCTCAAAACATTGTGAGATTCAGCTTTAAAGTGAGTGATATAATTATGTAAATTGCATGCATATTTTGCATAATAATAATTAAATGCTTTTGTACATTCTAAAATATTTGACAGAAACTTCCATCAAATGCTGATACCCATAGTTTCAGAACTTTGAAGGTACATGGTCAAATATATATCAAAAGGAAATGATATGATTTATTTCCAAAGTCCTCAAATATGCTGTCTGACAACTTGGACTTAATGGCACCTGTTTTGGCTACAATAAGAGCTGTATCTATTGCACTTGCACATTTTTGACACAAAATAGGTGAGATGACATCTGGCAAAGGCATTAATGCATTTATGGTGAATTTTCACTCCAAGTACGGAGAATAGGTAAATCATGAAATCAAAAAAGTGCATTAGATTCCAGCATTGCTGTTTTGGAACTTCATAATCCAGTTAACGCTCTCCTGAACGAACAGGCATTAAACATCTCTTGCCATACTATTAACTACTCAGCAGGTTTGTTGCTGCTTGATTCTAATGGTCTTCTACGATTCGACAATTACAGAATCTCTGCAGTGTCGGAGCAGGCCATTTGGCCCATTGAGTCCACACTGACCCTCAGAAGAGCATCCCACCAGACCCACCCCCCTACGCTTGCTTTGTAACCCTGCATTTTCCAAGGCTAATCCAGCTAGTCTGCATATTTTTGGACTGTGCAAGGAAGCTAGGGCATCTGGAACAATCCCATGCAGACACAGGGAGGATGTGCAAACTCCACACAGACAATCACCTGAGGGGTGGAATTGAACCTGGGTTGCTGGCACTGTGACGCAGCAATGCTAACCATGAGCCACTCCATTTGATTTCTTTAGTAATTAAAAGTTGCAAAACATTTACAGAGTGATGTACTGAATAATGGTTTGCTAACTTCAAACCAGTTGTTCCCATACCTGGATGCAATATTAGGCCTTCGATTTGGAATAGGATATGACTAGGAAATTAGCAGTGAGCAATTCAAACTGCTACAAGAGAGAAAAAGAGGAAAGAAAAAAGATCCTTCAGCACATGACATCTTTCAGTAATATTATTGGATCAATTACCCTGCCTGAAATTATTATGGAATAATGTGGGAGATGTTTCTGCATCACAAAACAAAATATGGACATTAGAAACGGGAACAGCCTATTCATTTCTTTGCACCTTCTTCACTTTTAATAAAATCAAAACTGATCTTCAAACCAACCTTTTCTTCCTGAACTATCATAAATTCCACTTCCTATAGTGCCTGAAGATCAACTGCCCTCTGGGATAGGAAATTCTAAAGATTTATACTTTTTGAGTACAGTATCTTATTTTAATCTCCTAATGGCCTCATTCTGTGCTCTCTAGTTCTGGACTCCCAAACCAAGGAATCATACTGTCAGCATCTACTTCAAATCCTTGAAGAATTTTATATGTTTCAATTAGGTCACATTTCGTTCTTCAAATTTCAGGGAATATAAGCCTGAATCTCAAACTAATGCCTTGAATTCTGTACTATCATGGAGCTGTGCAGGCTAGATCACTGAAAGTTTAAAGAGGAGGCAATTAGATTTTTGAAACATCTGTGTTGACGACTGTGCTGAGTTGGCACAAAGCAGAAGATGAGGTCTGGGGCAGATCACCCATGATCTTGTTGAATGGTAGGCCAACTGGCCTACTCCTGCTCCTATTTCTTACGTTCTTATTTTCTCGTCTTAATTTCTCACAAAGGTTTTTCTTGAAATTGGCCTCCTGCTGTAACCATGAGTGCTACCTCGGAGGAGGACAAGGATTCAATTTGTGGTTGTTGTGAAAGTCTCTGTGGCTATGACTATGAAATGCCATCGAATTAATTTCTTCCAAGCTCGACAGTTGGCAATATCTCATTTTCCTACCTATTGCCGTTTAAAGGAGGTCACTGAGGCTTTTATTAATTTATATTTTAATTAATAGAAGCAGAGTGAGTATTAGGGTTTGAAAGATTTTCAAGCTTCTCCATTCAACAACATATCATTGATTGAGTGCATACATTTTGCAGTGAGCTTGTCAATTTGACCATATGTAAAAACATGCAGATGTTGTATGAAACTCATAATTGCCCAGAGATTCTGATTAACATCCAATCAGATCTGATTGCTGGTAATGCTCTTCAGAATTACTCTGTCAGTTACTTTTCCAGCTAAGATTCTGAGTCTGGCCTGTCTCAAATGTGTCCATCAGCAATAACTAGGGAGAAATGCACTCAGTGTTACAGGCCAAGAAACAGCCCTTTTAAAAATTATATTTATTACCGTATTTTATGAGTTAAAGGTCTCAACATCACTTTGACAGTGACTGAGGAAAGGTAATTGTGTAAACTAAATTAGGGGGATAGAGTGGCAGGGGATAGGTGAGGGGGTTAGTGAACCAAATTGGTAGGGTGCCAAGTAATTAGATGAGTGCTTAGGGGTAGGCCAGGGGCCAGGTCTTGCAGGAAGGTTAGGGAGTGAAGTATCACCTCCAGCGGTGCTGGCATGGGCTGTGGTGGTGAGAAAGGGGGTGGTAGTTGTTGGCTTCAGCAAGGTTGTGGACTGGGCCAAGCCAGGCTGCGCCAAGGGAGCTATTGGCTTAAGCAGAGTTGGATTTGGCTTAGTCTGGATGGTAAAGTGGGGTATTGTCAGCTCCAGTGAAGTAAAATGCAGTTGGGCCAGGCCAGGATTATGAAGTGTCAGTTCCAGCAGGGTTGGGTCAGGCCAAGCCAGGAGTGGAGGGAGGGTGAGGGGATGTCAGGTCAGGTCGAGCCGTCTTAGGCCAGGAAGGTCAGATTCAGAAGGGTCAGGCCGGGATTGGGTTGGAGGGAGTGGATTGGTTGCACCTTTGGATTCTGACAAAATGTTACTTACATTGTTACAATATGTCTCAAGGAAAGATACAGAATTTCAGTGGAAATTGCAGAATGGTCTTAAACAAGCCTTATGCTTAGGAGGCTTAGCTTCAAACTACACAATCTTGACATGGTCTGCAAAAATTCTAGAGTGGCTGTCTGCCAGACAATTACGGAAGAACAGATAAAGTGGTGGGGTGGGAACTTGATTGAAAGAATGAATGAATGATTTTTTGGCACATATATATTGAAGATACTGTGAAAAGTGTGTTCCTGCCATAATCTGGCACCATTTTGACCTACAAAACGAATAAAAACAAATTACTTAACTAAGAGTTCATCTTCTGTTCAGTTGGGTCTTAAGCATGGTTCCAGGGCTTCTGCATCACCTCTGGAAGGTGTTCTGGGCCTCAAGGTGTCCTGCTCCAGGAACAGCAATGACGATGCTGATGCCCAAAGAGACCCTTGCTCTGCTGCCATCTCACACGAGCAAAAGTCCAGTATCAGGACCTACTATTGCCAGGACTCCCTGTTCCAGGCATCACCGCTGCCAAGATTTCAGGCGCCGGGCCTAATCCCGTCAGGAGTCTCGCTCTGGATACTGCTGCCGCCAAGAGTCCAGGCCCAGACCTACTGGCGCCAAGAGTCCAGGTTCTGGGCACTGCCACCACCGTCAGGAGTCCTGATCCATACTGCTGACGCTGCAGCCATCGTCCCACTGACACCACTCTGGCCTTGAAGATGAAGAAAGAAGAGAATTGGATGGTGCTGGCCCGGAGTGGATGGACGCCAATGAGCCCGTACACTTGAAAACTACTTTCCTTTTAGAGCACAGCAGATTTATGGTCTGTGGAATCACAGATACTCACCTGGGTTGACACCTTTGCAATCCTCATAATCCATTGTTGGACAGATTACTGAGCTGCTGTGACACCCGGAAAGGCACTTTGAACACACAACCAGGGTCATCCACTATCAACAGAGATAGTAGGAACTGCAGATGCTGGAGAATC